ACTCACTTGGTAGCCCAGGCTGGCCTCGAACTCACAGAGATCCGCCTGGCTCTGCCTCCCGAGTGCTGGGATTAAAGGCGTGCGCCACCACTGCCCGGCAAGTCTGCCCTTTTTTTCTACCATTTGGTCTCTGGGGATCAAATAGGTTGCCAGACATAAAGCACCTGTACCTGCTTAGCCTTCTTGCCAGCCACACTTTGTTATTTTTAATAGATCCTTTCACTAGGACTTAGGATTTGTCTATCATTCTAGGTTAGCTGGCCAATGAGCCCCAAGTCCAACGTCTCTGTCTTCCCAGTGATGGTTACCATGTTTTGCCTTTTACATGTTCTCTAGGCATTGAAATCAGATCCTCATGCTTATGTGACAAGTATTTTATCAACCAAGTCCTAAAACTGAAATATAATCTGATATGCCAGGCATGGTCACTGTGCCTATAGGTTGAGGTGGGAGGTTCACTTGATTTTAGGAATTCAAATCCAACCTGAACAACATCACAAGACCCTGTATCTAAGTAAATAAATAATATATACAACCCAGTATTGTCTATCAGGATCCTATGATAACCCCCAAGATGTTCATAATTTCACGAAGGACTTAATACTCAGCATATAATTATGTGAAGACTTAATAGAGTAAGATGAAGATAGTAAAATCAGCAAAGAATAAGGAAATGTAAGAGAGTCCGGAGAAAACCAGGTCTAAACTTCCAGGGTGTTGACCCAGGAGTCACACAGAATGTTCTTCATTCCCCAGCATGACCATGTGGATTAAGTACTTTATTTTAGAGATGCTTATTACAGACCTTGTGCAGATCAGTTGGTATTGTGTTTGCCTAGTATTCATGAAGCTCTGCTTTCTGTCCTCAGCACTTGGGACATGGAAACCAGAGGATCAGAAGCAGAGCAACCTGGATTACATGAGACCCAGTCACAAAATTTTAAAGACTGACTCACTAGAGAGCTGAAGTCGAGGCTTTTAATGGGAACTAATCACTAGAATGTCCTCTGCCAGGCTTCCAGAGGGAATGTTGGGATTTCCCTAAAGTGTCTCATTTACCCCATCTATGCAGAGTAAGCCCAATCATGTGAGTCTTCCCACACGTAGCATCCAGCAGCCAGCCAAAGCTAACTTTATAAGCTGGCACTCAGACCTAGTGCAATATCTGCACAATATTTGTAAGTATATGCGTGTATGTATATAAGATGTATCAGAAGACAGAGCTTGACCAGCAAGCAGAAAGAAGAGACTTTGTGGAAATGAATGGTAGTGTTGTCTACTTTAGCACTATCCAGAGCAAGAGCAGCACAGACTATGACCCACAGGCATTTCCAAAATGTGGAATAATTCCTGGGCTACCAAGTGAGCTCCAGGAAAGGCGCAAAGCTACACAGAGAAACCCTGTCTCGAAAAAACCAAAAAAAAAAAAAAAAAAAATGTGGAATAATTCTGTGGTATTTCTTCAGTGCTGGGAATGGAGCTCAGGACTTCATACAGGATAGGCAAGCTTGGGTTTTTTGTTGTTGTTGGTGGTGGTGGGGTGGGTTGGTTGGTTGGTTGGTTGGTTTGGAGATGTGGTCTTACGGAGCCCAGGCTGGCCCCAGCTCCTGAACCTCATACCTCATTTTTCAAATACTGGGACATTTCTACCTTGCATGGCTCATACTGCATTTTTCTGGGCTATGTTTTTGTGTATGTTAACTAGCTTTATTAATTTTAGCAATCAAAATAATTAGGAAGGGCCTAACTAATGACTTGCTATATTTTTGGTCACCACTTCTATTGCTTGCTTCTTTCATTTAGATTTTTGATTGATTTGATATTCACATTTATAGCATGAAATGTAGAGACAGCATATTTTTTCTAAATGTGGGAAAAAATTACTGTGTTATACCTACAAAAGTCCTATGTGTTTGCAGTTCCTTTTCTGTACTTTCCATTCTGTTCCATTTGTTTTGTGCCCACTCTTGTACCAGTGCCACACATTTCAGTTACTGAAGTTTTTAAGTGTACTTTAATATCTGATGAATCTTCTCTTTTGCTTTCCTGACTGATTTTTGCCATTTGAACTTCAGCAGTACATTTTTTTGTTGGCGGGGGAGAGGGGTGGGTAGGAGGCACTAGTAGCTCTTTTTATTGAGATTGGTTCAAATTTTAATACATTATCATGACATTTTAGAGTGGATTCATCTGTAAGTACATAATGTGTCTTTCCATTTCTTTACCTTTATTTTTACCCTTTAGAATTTTTAACTTTCTGACTTACTCAGTTTACTCCTAGGAATTATATCTTTTTTTTTGTTGCTTCACCAAATAATTTATGTTATTAAAATTGTATCTATTATAATAGATCTGCCTTTAGAGAAATGATATTCTAAATTATTCAGAGTACTCCACTTGTAGTCTGAATGTCCACTTAGTTCTTGCTGTAATGAGCACATTGGCACCATCCTGTATGAGTTGTTGCTGTGAGACTCAGTAAGGGATTTATTTACCCATTCCCAGAGACTTTGAGACTGAAAGCTAGATCTTTTGGAAAATTCACCCTGGTGTATCCAGTGGGACCACTGTTTCTAGAGACCCAGATGACCTGTATCTACAAAGCTACAATTATATATCTGCTATTACTTTAAAAAAATCAGTCTACAGAGTGAACGTCACTGTTTTGGTGGCAGTCCTTTTTAGCAAATTGGTATGCATGGTAATGAAACATGAACTGCATATCTGCAACTGCTGCTCTTTCTATATCTGCTTGTAGATAGATTAGAGCCCAATCTGTACACTAGTTATGTGCATTGGAAAATTACTAGGTCAAATCTTTAATGAAAGTCTTAAATTCTTATATATTGCAGAATTTCACAAACTTATTTGGACAGCCACTCGTCTGCTTGCTTTCTCCCACGGCATATCCAAAAGCTTTGCAAGGTATGTTCTTTAGTGCCTGTTAGACCAGTAGGTCTTAATGAAACAAGACCATATTTGTTTTGATCTCCCATCATGATTAGACATGGATGTATGGTTCTTGTAGCAAGTGTCAATCTGAAATATACCTGGGATCCTTGCTGGCAAGATTTCCCTAATGTGCTGTGATTAGGCCTTGAAGTGATTCATCTCTGAGAAAGAAATGGTTTGTTGCTGAGAGGGTTCCTGGTTTTTAGATTTAAAAATCGGTTTTGATTTTCTTGTCATATCCATATAGCATGATTTTCCTACATCTTTGGTTATATACCTTAGGCATCTTTGAAGACTGTAAAATGGCTGGTCTAGGAAACTTATCAGCCTATGTCTAAGAGTTAGGATATTTGAGCTGGCACAACTTAAAAGGCTTCTTTCTTTCTCTTCTTGTTTTTTGTTTACTTTTTTCTTTGAATTTTTATCTTGTTCTTTTAAAATAAAATTCTCTTCAGAATTCACCAGAAGGACAAGTTTGTTTGGGCCATTTCTCCAGTGGCTACAAAGGGAAAGCCTTATTTCCTTAGTATTTTGTCCTCAATAGGTTACACATAAAATCTAATTCTAACTCCCAGTCATTTCCTAGGTCAAATGCTAAGTGAGACTTCACACTGTCTTAGCAGTACTTGTCACTGTGTCACTATCTCCCTGACTGTGAATAGTGCTGCTGTCTCTCTGTGGGAGATGGCATTATACTGCTACTTCCCAGCCCGAAGTCCTGTCTGCTGACATAGTTTGACACAGGAAGTGATTGATGGTCAGCACTTGAATGCCTGAGAGAAGCTGGAGACTTACACCGTTGTTTTAAGGTAAGTTCTGCTGTTTAACAGGGAAAATCTTGTAGCAATTCTAAGTTCACATAGCCAAAGCCAAATCCTAAGGGATAGAACTTACCTTCAAACAACGGTAAAATTCTCCTGCTTTGAGGACTTTGCATCCTGTTTCATATTGTTTCTGGAGGAATGTAACCTCTTCCCACCAGTAGAGAGTGCTGTCATCATCCTGTTTTAATGTAGTTTTACTTAAAACTACATGGTCAAGTGGGTTAATACCAGAATTCCATTAGTGACTTCATTGCACAGAGAAGAAAAGCACAGACAAATGGATGCCAGCTGAATTTGAGTCCCAGCCTAGCCACTTACTAGCTGTGTGACTTTGGAATGCTATTCAGCCATTTTGTACCTCGGTTATTTCATCTATCAAATGGAAATAATAATAGTATTTAACCCTATAGCATAGTGCTAGGTACCTAGAAAGTACTCAGTTTGTGGTGTTAATATGTATGTGGTTGTGATTCATTTCCTTAATGTTTCGTTTTTTTGGTTTTGGGGTTTTTTTTTGCCCAACATCCTATCTTTAAACTATAAAGTTTAGGGGGCTAGAGAGATGGCTGAGTGGTTAAGAGCACTAACTGCTCTTCCAGAGGACCTGGGTTCATGTCCCAGCACCCACATGGCAGCTCACAAGTGTCTGTAACTCAAGATCTGACATCCTCACACAGTCATACATGCAGCAAAACACCAATGCAAATAAAATAAAAATAAATAAATTATAAAATAAAAGTTTAGACTACAAGTACCTTTAAGTAAAATTCAGCCACCAGACAGATTGAATATTCTAATATTCAATTCAGGATTTATTCAATAGCATTGTTGCTGCTGACCTCAACAACAGGGCTTGACACTCTGGCCACAAAGTAGATGTATTTATTTGATAAGGTTCCTACATATTTGGTGTCTGTAGCTCTATCATTAGTCAAGACATACTTTATTCATTCAGTACAGTTTTTAAGATTAATTCATCAGGCTAAGCACTGGGGAACAGCACTGCATCTGATATTCCAGTTGTGTTTCTCATAGAGCCAGTGTCTAGTAGACGATAGAGATGACCTGACAGGAGGAAGCATAGGAGTATGAACAAGGAACTGCTACTACCGCACAGGAGTGAAGCAAAGGGAGAAATGATAGATGGGGATTGGAGTGACTGAGCAGGCAGAGTTCCAGCAGAAAAACTGTATGTGTTATAGCCTTGAGCTATGAGAGCCTGTAAAACATTAGAGAAGTTTAAGTGGTGTCTCTGACTGAAGGGATTATGTGATTGAATGATAAAAACCCTTTAAAGTTGATAATATGATTTGAATTGGAGAGATTGGAGTGAAAAGTGCTCAACAGAGGAGGAGGATGAAAGAGCATGCAGAGAGAATGGATTAGAAGGGTACTGAGGGAAGTAGCCAGATGATGGTGTCAGGAGCTCAACAGTGACTGAATGCTAAGCTTGCTGATGCTGCAGGACTTGCTGATAGACTGGGAGACAGAAAGCAAGAAGATAGATGTGTGTGGCTCTTTTATTGGTGGAAATCTTGAGTCTTGATGAGAACCTGCATTTGAAAACTGTAGAGAAAAGCATGTGTTGAATTCAGGGTCTTTCTGAGAATGGAGTTGAATCTAACCCAGTGCTGTTCAGTAGAAATGTAGGATGAGTTGCATAGATAGTGAGTGTTAACAATATGCCTTTTTGTGCTAAGTCTTTGAAGTCTGGGATGCATTCAAAGATAGTTTGGAGCAGCTAGTCTTTGTGTATGGTAGATCATCGGAAAGCACAAAACCAAAACTATGGAATTCAGTCTTATTCTTTGAAAATTAAGCATCCATGAGCATGAGTAGCAACTAATATCCTAGGAGTTGGTGAGATCAGCAATGTATATGGCCAAAGATAAAAAAATGTTGACATTGAAGAGCTAGGTAGATTATAGGTATGGTTCTACATACCTATAATCCCACACTTGGGAGGTAAAAAGGCAAGATCAGGAGTTCAGGGTTGTCCTTAGCTACTTCATGAGTTCAAGGCCAACCTAAGCTCCTTAAGACCCTGTCTCAAAAAGGGCCTGAGTTGCAGAGAAAGAACAACTAATCAGAAAATTGGCAGATCAAGTACTCATCAGATATTTACATCATAGATGCTTCATGAGGCAATACTTGCCATACTCAGATGAAATTGGTTAGTTGTGTTAAGATAGTAAGAAATGTGTTTAAGCCAGGTGGTGTAGTGCATACCTTTAATCCCAGCACATGGGAGGCAGAGATCTCTGTGAGTTCAAGGTTAGCCTGGTCTACAGAGTGATTTCCAGGACAGCCAGAACTGTTATACAGAGAAACCCTGTCTCAAAAAAAACCAAAAAAAAGAAATGTGTCTACTTACTATTTTATAATTGAAGGAGGCTCAGTGTTTTTATTTTATTCAGAAGGCAATATACCTGGGATGTGTTTTCATCGCTTCATGAAGAATTTACGTTGTTGAACTGTGATTTACTGATACATCTTTAATTTTATACATTATCAGTATATTAAGATATTCCTCATGTGTTTGCTAACCCGTTGTAAACCTCTTGTCTGTATGTAACATGTTTGTGATTACAGATCAGTCTCAGCGAGGTAGCCTCTTCACTCTCTTTTTGAACAATCCTCTAATGGCCTTCCTATTTGTGTCTGGATTGTCAAGCATGCGTAGAGGCCTGTGGGAAAAGTGTCAAGAATATCTTCGAAAAATCAACCGTGATATTGCCCAGCTACTGACCCATTCACGTTCCATAGGTACCCTGCTAATCTACCTGAACACTTAACAAAGCTTACTGTAGTATCTGTCTTAAATGGTTTCCTACTGTAAACTGGGTATTTTAAGGTATTTGTCCCAGGTAGGAAAGTCATGAAGGCTTTCCTTAACTTAGTTCCCTGTTGAAGTGGCATTTTCGTATTGCCTCCATTCACTATCCCCTTCTCCTCTACAGATCAGGCCTTTCTCCAGTTTTTTGGAGATGAGTTTCTTCGATTGCTTCTCACAAGGTTTGTCTTCTGTTCAGCCACCATGAGGATGCACAAGGCCTTTCGGGTAAGCAGTGAAATCATTAAAGATCAAGTTCACCATTTCAATCCATTATTGCTAGTCATGTATTACATTTTGCTTACACTAAATAAAATTTAAATAGATTCAGGATAATATTCAGAAGAAAGCATGGGCAGCATTACGATGAGCAGTATTGTGGGCGTGGTGGTGCATGCTTATAATCCCAGTACTTAGTAGGCTGAGGCAAAGCCTGTCTCTTAAAAGCTGAAACAGAAAAAGATTAACAATGCTGTGACACAAGTTCCCAGTGGGAATATTTTCATGAGCTGCCTGTATTCCCAGCACTTGAGAAGTAGAGGTCAAAGTTCAAGGTCACCCTTGACTACCTAATGAGTTTGTGGCCAGCCTGGGATATATGAGACACTTTAAAAAAAAAAAAAAAAAAAAAAAAAAAAAAAAAAAAACCACCTTTCTTTACCTAGGAAGACTGCTGTGGATCCTGCCAAATCTCTCCTCAAATGCAGCTAATAACAAGTGTTGTGATTATTTACCTTTTATTAAAACCTTGTTGCTGGGCAGTACTCAAGAGGCAGATCACTGAGTTTGAGGCCAGCTGGGTCTAAAGAGCAAGTTCCAGTACAGCCAGAGCTACACAGAGAAAACCTGTCTCAAAAAATTTAAAAAAAAAAAAAAAAAAAAAATGTGCTTTGTTTTCTGTCTAGTATATTAGTGGATTTATATTGCTTTATTTTAGTCAGTGGCGTTCTGAGGGCTGGATATTTAGCTCAGTGGTAGAATGCCCACCTAGAATGCACAAGGCCCTGAGTTCAATCAGCAGTATCACTGGAAAAATTATATATATAATATATATGTAATTATGTTAAATAAATATATATGTACATGCATATATCTGTATGTGTATGTATGACATTGCTGCAGTTGAGCCATGTTGATTATAGTGTTTATTCTTTGCCATTGTCTGTGTCTTAGTTACTTAACCTTTCTGCCAATAAAGGACATTTTGATTGCTACCAGGTGTTATTATTGTATAAATGATGCAATAGTAGTTGGTGCATACCTCTAATCCCAGCACTTAGGAGGCAGAGTCAGGTGAATCTTTATGAGTTTGAGGACAGCCAAGGCTACATAGTGAGACCTTGTTTAAAAAAACAAATGAAGTAGGCCAGGCAGTGGTGGCACATGCCTTTTATCTCAGCACTCAGGAGGCAGAGGCAGGTGGATCTCTGAATTCAAAGCTAGCCTGTCTATAGAGCAAGCTCCAGGGCAGCCAGTGTCACACAGAGAGGTCCTGTCTATGTTGGCCAACTATTCTTGGGCATGGGGCCTGCCCTGGAGTGTGATTGATAAATCCAATGACATTTCATTGTAGAAAACTGACTTCCTTTCCCTGGCGATAGCGATTGCAAATATCTCTTGATTGGGGTTGGGAGTTAGTCTGATTTGTACCTGTGCTGGTCTTCTGCATGCTGTCAGTTTCTGTGAGTTCAGATGTGCATCACCCCTGTTGTGTTTAGAGGACACTGTTTCCTTGGAGTCACCCATCACCACTCTTAGAATCTTTTCACCTCTTCTTTTGCATAGATCCCTGAGCTCTGGGGTTAGGGTTTGATGAAGATATCCTATTTAGGACTGAGTGTTCCACAGCCCCATTCTCTGCACACTGTCCATTGTAGGTCTTCATGTTATATCATCTACTGAAAGAAGTTTATCTGATGAGAGCTGGGTGATGCACTGAACTGAGTCCTGAACAAGTTGGTACTCATGGGGTTTTGTTTATTTTTAATGTTGTCTGTTTCTTTTTTTACTTCAGCTTGCAACATTAAGGATTTTATTTTTATATATATGTATTTGTTTTGTTTGTTTTGTTTTTCAAGATAGGGTTTCTCTGTGTTACAGCGCTGGTTGTCCTGGAACTCACTTTGTAGACCAAGCTGGCCTCAAACTCAAGAGGACTGCCTGCCTTTGCCTCCTGAGTTCTGAGATTAAAGGCATATGCCACCACCACTTGACTAAGTTTTTTTTTATATATTTTTATTTTTAAAAAGCTTTTGTAACTTAGTTGCAAAATATTCTGCCACATATTTGATTTTCTTTCCGGTTTGATTTTATATAGTTGATATAGTCTCACTGTGTAGTCCAGGCTGGCCTTGAACTTCCTATCCTACCTCAGTGTTCTGACTGCCAGGATTATAGGTATGCCCCACTATTAATACTTACAATAAAATGCACAAAGTTGAAATATACCACTGGTTATTACATGTGTTACTACATGGTTAATAACCGTGTTACTGTGAATATAAACCTCTACTAAGTCATACAACAGCATCATTCCAGAATATTTCCTCCCTAACCTTTTTGGTGAGTCTATAAGCCACTACATCATAGATCATTACTCATATGATAGTTTTTACACTGCCTTATGAACTTGAATCACATTGGATAGAATCTTGTGTAAAGCCATTACTAAGATTGGCACATTTTGTTTCTTTTATCATTAGCTTTTTTTTTTCTTTATCAATTTTAGTTGGTTTTTGTTTTTTAGTGTTGTTTGGTTTGGTTTGGTTTGGTTTGGTTTGGTTTGGTTTGGTTTGGTTTGGTTTGGTTTGGTTTGCATGTGTATATGTGTACCACATGCATACCTGGTGTCCACGGAAGCAAGAAGATATCATTAGATCTCCTAGAACTGGAGTTTTGGATGGCTTTGAGCCACCATGTGGGTATTGGGAACCAAGCCCAGGTCCTCTGGAGGAGCAACAGGTGCTCTTAACCACTGAGCTGTCCCTCCAACTAACTCCACTTAGTCCTTTTTACTTCTGAGTAGTAGTTCATTGTTCTGTTGATGCTCACCTGGGTAGTTGTAAGTTATTAGCTAGTAAATGAAACTCTTCAGTACAAGTAGAAGAGTTTGTGTTAGTCTTTGCAAATATTCTTTGATTTTTTTTTTTTTTTTTTTTTGTAATTTCCCCACATGCAGAAAAGGCTTTGTTTTAATCAAAGTGTCAATTTTATACTGCTTCACCACTAGACAGCAGCTTGGTTAGCAACTTAGACTTTCACCTTGTGTAGTAACACAAGATCTTTTTATTTTTGATCTCCTCCAAGATAATCATTAGAAAACTTGGACATCACTGCCTCTGTTCCTAACTCTTTGTCCTCTTTCACTGACATGTCCTATTGTCACTATTTTGCTTTTCTTTCATGATTGTTTGACATTCAGTGTGAGTTCATCTTTGTAGAATGTGTCTTCTACTTCAGACCACTTGCCCCTTACCACTTTTTTATTTTTTTGTTTTGTTTTTGTGGTGGTTTTTTTTTTTTTTTTTGGAGACAGGGTTTCTCTCTGTAGTTATGGTGCCTGTCCTGGATCTCACTCTGTAGAATAGGCTGGCCTTGAACTCACAGAGCCTGGCTCTGCCTCCCAAATGCTGGGTTTAAAGGCGTGCACCACCACCTCCCTGCTGCTTTTTGATTTTTATCAGCAGAAAGTTGTTATATGTTCCATTTCTAGAAACTGCCAGATCTTTTCTCAAAGCAGGTCATTAACACTCCCATGGTAAGGTATGAAAGTTGCTTGTGTACCTGGCTGCACTGGGTGCCATCAGGCCTACATTCTGACCAAGTGGATTGGATCCAATATGCATTTTACTCATCAGTAATAGTGGTAAATACCTTTCCATCTGCTGTCTGGCTGGGTAGTTTGTTACTTGTCTTTGTGGTTGTTTGTTTGCTTTTTAATGGTAACAAAAGTTTGAAGTGTTCAGGAGATCCAATTAATCAGGTTTTCTTTTTTCAAGTTCCTAAGAAATCTTATCCATTCTAAGTTTACAAAGGTTTTCTGTTTTCTTCTAGAAGTTTTTATTTTAGATTTTGTCTTTTCACTCATTTTGATTTCTACTGCAGCATTTTTTTATTCATAAAATAGGTATTTTTTTAAATCCCATGTGTGGATCCCTCTCAGGATTTGTATCGTTTTTTTGATGGTATTATGCCTAACAGTCATAGAGGTTAACAAATATTTGTGAAATAATGCAGTGTGCAGATGTATTAGGCTGACCCATAGGAAGCTATATTGAGAAGTTAAAATTGTCACTTGTTAGTAATTCAGTACAGAAGCCAAGTGTGATTGTGCTCTTGGGAAGCTGACTCAGGAACATTGCTATATGTTAGAGGTATAACAAGATCCTGTCTAAAGTTAACAAATAAAAGTTCCAAACCAACAAAAAACACATATAGTAGTAATAATAACTGACAAGAGAGGAAAATAGACATTGAGCTACTCCTTAATATTGTCAAACTGAGTAGTTTCCTCCCATAAGATTGTGACACATAACTTTCCTTATTTAACAGGAAACTCGAAATTACCCAGAATCCTACCCACAACTGCCACGGGATGAAACTGTTGAGAATCCTCACCTTCAGAAGCATATTTTAGAATTGGCCTCCATTCTGGATGTTCGGAACATCTTCTTTGAGAATTCTATGGACGACTATTAAAACCCTCTTGTTTAACAGTTTTCATCTTCCACAGGTTTTAAACGGTGCAGTTTTTATGTAATGACAGAGACCGTTACTCAGTTTTTTGTTTTTGTTTGGTTTGGTTTTTTGTGTAAATTTAAGAACTACCATTTTAAAGGCAAACTGAAAAAAAGTTCAAACTTTTAGGATAACTTTTAAAATATAATCTTTCAAGTCTTTTAAAGTCTCAATCTTGAAATTTTTATTTTTTGGTTTTGAAATTAGATACTTACCTCCAACATCTAATCCTACATTCAGATAGGTACTATTGCCTCCCTAAGAAGAATAAATTGTTTATTTTTACATAATGAGAATAATCCAAAAGTTAAATTTTCAATTGGAATTTTGAGGTTACAGAGCTTACTTAGAATGTGAATATATTATCATGAGATTTGTTTGTATATTGTATTTTCTTTGTGGTCTTGAATGCTGAAAATATAAAGGAAAATACTTCTAAGTATTTCAGCCAAAAAATCAAGCCGGTGGTTTCATAATCCTGCACTGTCTCCAGTAGGATTTCTACATAGACTATTCATTAGCAATATCAGGCTTTAAATTGTATCTTGATGGATTCATTGGTAAACTCACTGCACAGTTTCTAATTCTTTTTCATATTCGAGTTTCCAAGGCATCAATGTCAGAGATACTGTCAATGTGAATTGAGGATAACTAGTTTACTGGAAAGTAAATTGTGAGTTGGTTTTACATTTGACAATTTGGAAGTAAGATATTAAAACTCCCTATGTTTTGTTATTCATGCACAAGTTTTTATTATTATTTTAAATAGGACCCCTTATATGAAGGTTTTTGTGTGTTCTTCTCCATCTCCTTCATAATCTCATAAGTACTAGCTATGAAGGTCCCTCCCATCATGGCTCCTTTGGACTGCGTGGCATTTAACATGCAGAAATGCGTGACTCACAGGCCTTCTGCCTGTTTTCTGTATAGGCTCATTGTCTAACTCTGGTGGTTCCTAGAGAAACGGGCTATCTATTTCCAGTACCTCTTTCCTATGCTCCTAAGGAATTTTTTTTTCTTTTTTTTTTTTTTTTTCTCTCAAGGCAGGGTTTCTCTGTGTAGCTTTGGAGCCTGTTCTGGATCTCACTCTGTAGCCCAGGTTATCCTCAGATTCACAGAGATCCACCTGCCTCTGCCTCCCGAGTGCTGGGATTAAAGGTGTACACCACTACTGTCCGGCCCTCTGTAAGGAAATTTTGATGTGTTGTTTTAACCTAAGTTACCTTTTCTCACCTAGAGCAACACTTGAGGGTAAGTTGTAGCCCTATCTGCTCCAGTGCACTAACTTCATGAAGTCTGTTATGGTTGGGTCAGGGACTTAGGATGTTTCATTATCTTTTAAAATTGTTTGTTTGTTCTTTCATTCTGTATTGCTTAAAGCTTAGAAAAAAGTTACTCTGGAAAGAGCCTTTCCAGGTGGTGGTTTTTCATTTTTAAAAAGCCTACTTCCCACCAGGTGGTGGCGGTGGCGGCGGCGGCGGCAGCAGAGGCGGTGGCGCACGCCTTTAATCCCAGCACTGGGAAAGCAGAGTCAGGCACATCTCTGTGAGTTTAAGTCCAGTCTGGTCTATAGAGCAAGTTCCAGGACAGAGAAACCCTGTCTCAAAAATAAATAAATAAATAAACAAACAAACAAACAAACAAGAAATAGCCTGTTTGCCTTTGTTTGCAAAACCATAACATATCATGGTTTTCCCTTCCCAACTCTTCTCCTGGACTGTAGAAATAGATGATGATTAGCTGTCGGGTCTCTTGTCCAGTTCCCTTATGTGCTGTGTCATTACTGTTCCCTGACATTTAAAGTGGCTCTGTCCTGTGTTTAATCCTTTTTTGCTAAGCATGAGAACCACTGGTTTCAAATCCAAGAAATCTGAGTTCTAATCTTGGCTTCTCTAGTAACTAGCATGATGCCCTTGACAAGTAGCTTCATGTGTCTGCTTCTTAGCACTCCTCTGTATAAAACAGAATGACTCACCCAAGATCCTATTCCTGTCTGTCATTCTACAGTTTGGAGCCTTGGTTCCAAAAATGTTGATTTCCTCCCTGTTGCTTCCAGAAAAGTTGATTTGTATGTTTTTATATCATGTTTAATAAGATTGTTTTTTAAAAAAAATCCTACATCCTACTTAGTTGTTTTGACACTTGTTTAGAGAGACTGTCCTGGGCATATCAGACCTTCCGTGATCAGAAATATATGTGTCTTAGAGATCATAAAGTAAATCTAGATTATAACACAGGCCCTTAATGCAATTCCTAACTGGTGGCTAAAGATCTAAAGGGGACCAAAACTGAAGCTGTAGCTCAATGGTAGATCATTAAGCTAACATTCAGAAATCCAGTGTTTGGTCTCCATCACTAGGGGGGGAAAATTCAAAAAGAAAGAAAAAAGTAGAAGCAATTTTGAGATGGGTGTGGTGATGTGTGCCTATAGTAGTACATAGGAGGCTAAAGCAGGAGGATTGCAAAGTCAGGGCTAATCTAGACTGTATAGCAAAAGTCCATCTCAGAAATAATTGCTAAGAGATCTTGAATCTTTTGAGAGCAAAACTACAGTAGGAAATTTGAAGCTTTTTTTTTAATCTATGCCTTTAAACAAACAAACAAAAAACATGTATTATGTAGTTGTACAGCTGCTGTGCACCACATTTTCTTAATGACACTTGGAGTGCAAGAAACTTAAAAACCCTTGCCTTGAAGATGAAGATTGGCTTAGTAGTAGAACCTTGCCTAGCATGCACACAGCCCTGGTTTCCATTCCCAGTGCTTAAAGGTAGAGAGCTTCAGGAGTTCAAGGCCACCCTAGCATACAGAGTGAGCTCTTGACCAACCTTGGCTGCATCAGACACTGTCACAAAAACAGATTGGCTTATTTTAAGCCCTATTTAATTGTAGATTTTATTAAAAAAAAAAAAAAAAACCTTAAATATTGGAACGAAAAACAACAAAGCTGAGGAAGCAACATTTTTGTACTCAAATTGCACAAATCTCTTATAGATCCTGGTAAAGTTTCTAGTCTCTTAAGAATCACTGTAAACTCAGGGCAGTAGTGGCACACGTCTTTAATCCCAGCACACAGGAGGCAGAGGCAGGCAGATCTTTGAGTTTGAGGCCAGCCTGGTCTACAGAATGAGTTCCAGGACAGCCAGGGCTATACAGAGAAACCTTGTCTCGAAAAACAACAAACAAACAAACAGAAAACCACTGTAAACCAACTGATGCAAGAGATCAGTTACACACAAAGCAAAGTGAAACACAAGATTTTCTTTCTGTATCCATATAGTTCTGATATAAAGCAGCTACCTTTCCTGTTTTATATAAGAAGAAGCGGAGATGTTAGAAGCTGCTGATCTCATCTCAGCCCCCTCTCTCCAGTAGCTCAGGCTTCTGTAATGAACAAGAAGGAAAACTTTAGAGCTGTATTTAACATAAGAATTAAGATTTTATTCTCACTGTATCAGATACTCAAACCAGTCAGGATGACGTTCAATCATAGAGTGCTTGCCTAGCATCTGCAAGGCCCTATGTTTAATTCCCAGTACAATGAATATTCATGCCAGTGAATCACTCACTCGAGCATTTTTTTTTTTTTCTTGGTTTTTCGAGACAGAGTTTCTCTGCATAGCTTTAAGCCTTTCCTGGAGCTCACTTGGTAGCCCAGGCTGGCCTCGAACTCACAGAGATCAGCCTGGCTCTGCCTCCTGAGTGCTGGGATTAAAGGCGTGCGCCACCACCGCCCGGCCAACTTCAGCATATTTTTAACAATTATAAAATCATATGTTTTTTTTTCTTTGATTTTAGTCAGGTTATATTCTTTGTATGTGTTTCCTTCCTAGGAAGTGGTGCTCTCAAAACCTTTCAAAGCACAGAATTTATTGTGCCCTTTATATTTTTAAACAAAGTTTAAATGTTCCACAGTTTTGGAATTGTACTTGAGGTTTTCCTGACTCGGGGTTTGGGTTTGGAGTTTGGTTTTGTTTTTCTTCTCCATCATGCAATAGAATTCTCTTAAATGGGCAATGGTACTGAATTTCATTAGTGTCAAGGGAGAAGTCCAAATCAGACTCCTGAATCAGTTACAGACCCTTCTCTAGCCTTCTTCTCCAAGTTCAATCTCTGTCTGTGTCTGAGGGGTGGTTTCAACGTAGGTGAAAAATCTCATTTATCCCTGGAGACTTATAACCACCCCAATAACCAGAGAATGTTCTGGAATAGATACATATTAAGGTGCCAGGATCTGCAAACTTGGCCACTGCCAGAATCATCTGTCCACCTTGTGTGAGTATAAGACAATATGAATCTGAATCTGAATGCCTTGAGTCTCCTGGTGATGTGGGAGTGATTTCTGTTCTCATGTTTACTTGGAGAATTAAAGTGTATTTAGGTTGAGGGTTCTTTTTAGGACTTATTTATTTGAAATTCTTATTTTTAATGGCATGTGTATATTTTGTGATGCTAAATGCAGTCTCTATAAATTTTTTGTATATATGTGTATATATCTGTAAATATCTTGGTATGCAGTTATACAGTGTGTGTATATTATATATCCATACCCATTGTGGGCTGAATTTATTTTAGTTCTGTGAGGACATCAGAGTGGCATTGTTCCTGCTACTATAATTAGGTTGTGGCTGGATCTCATCCACAAGCCTCAATTTTAAGGGGCTGTGTTGGGATAAAATGGGCTCCTTTGGAGTTGAAATTAGGATATGAAGATATTAAGAAATGGCTGCATATTCTCAGCTTTAAAGTCATCTACAAACTTCAATTTAAATTGATAAGTTTGCTAGAAACCTGGAAACCTAAGTTTGTGAAACTGAGACACCAATAGGGTCTTAATCTTTCTTTGTCCCTTATTTTTCTTGGCACATATTTGAGAGCTACTACTGAGTAGAAAATTGTTTATATTAGGACTTTGGGGGCTATTGAAAAAATTAATTTGCTCACATCTGAAAATAGGACATGGCTTTTAAGTAGAAGAAATACCCATGTTTATCATTTCAATATCTTATTAAATTTTAATTTTGAATTTTTTTCCATTAATATGCTCATTCTGTATGTGTCACTGTGAGGCAGAAGAAAGGGCATTAGCTAAAGAAAGGCCAAACCTTAGTGGGCTGGACAGAGAAGAGCTGGGTTGCTGATGTGTGTATCTGTAGCGGAGTCTGCTTAAGTAGACTTTTCTTACTGGCATTGCATATCAAAAATGAGTCTTTTGGTTTGGTTTGCAAAAGGGTTTCTCTGTGTAGCCATGGCTGTCCTGGAACTCACTCTGTAGTTCAGCTGGCTTTGAACTCAGAGAGATCTGCCTCTGTCTCTGCCTCCATAGTGCTGGGATTACAGGCATTGTGCATCACTGCTCAGCTTGTTCTACAATTTAACCATATTCACCCTCAAAGTAGATTTCTTAATATGAAGTGCCTGAGAGGCTAAGAAACCCTAGGCTTTCAATTAAGCAGTGTGTGTGTGTGTGTGTGTGTGTGTGTGTGTGTGTGTGTGTGTGTGTGTGTGTGTGTACATCTGTAATTCCAGTTCTTGGGAGAAGGAGGTAGGAGAATCAAAAGTTCAAGTCCAGCTTCTGCTGCATAGCAGTTTCAGGGACAGCGTGGGCTACAGGAAACCCTGGCTCAAAAATCAGATCAGAAAGGCTTGTGATGATAGTGTTAGGAACAGTAATATTATAGAAAATAGGTACAGTGCCAGTTTGTGAATGTTTGGATATTGCAGAGTATATCTTTAGTTTATACATTTATTTGCATGAATGAATATAAAGGATGTTTAAACACTTTTATACATTCACTGAAAAGAGTAAAGTTATTTCTGCATTGTAAAATATAACTGCAAGGCAACTTCCTACTCCATTCTTCAAAAAAATCAAACCTCCTTTATTAATATTAAATTATTTTAAAGAGAAAAACCAGTTCAGGTCAATTCTGCCACTTATAAAATTATTACATTCCCCCCCCCATTGTTAATAAAGCACCCAGTTATTCATAACATGTTTCAATTATACTCTTAGTTATCTTTTTTCAAAATATGCTAAGATGCATTAAGGTTTTATTTCTGAGAAATCCTTCAAAAAAAATAACCACAGCCTCTAATGTTGGTTAAGCAACCAAACCTTTTTGCAGGTTGTTTAAAATTGATGACACTAGGTAATGGTGAGATGGCTCAGCAGTTAAGAGCACCTCTTTTTGTTTGTTTGTTTTGGTTTTTGGGGTTTTTTTTTTTTTTCTTGCTTTTTTGAGACAGACCCTCTCTATGTAGTACTGGCTGTCCTAGAGCTTACTATATAGACTAAGCTGGCCTTGAACTCACAGAGATCCTTCTGCCTCTGCCTCCCAAGTGCTAGGAGTAAAGTCATGCACCACCATGCCCGGCCAAGAGGCCTCTTACAGAGGACCTGGGTTTCATTCCTAGTACCTACATGGCTCCTCACAACCTTCATTATTACTAGGGCGTCTAACAGCCTCTTCGGGTCTCTGTGGCACTGCATGCACATGATGCATAGACATATTATGCAGGCTAAACACTCATACACCTAAATATTCGTTGTTGTTGTTGTTGTTGTTGTTGTTGTTTTTTAAGCATAGTAGGTAAGGTTGATGTTGTTCCTGTAACTTATGTCCCAAACAGTTACAAAGCTGGTAACTTTGCAGTTGAATAAAACACGAATTGCTGAGAAAAACAAGCCTTTCCCCTACATTCTCTTGAATGCTTATATTGCTGATGTTTTACACATAGTCAACTCCGAGTCTTTCCTGAATACTGGGACCACTTAACTTAATGAAAATAAAAAGGTGATTCGTCGTCCTCAGACTAGGCCTTCCAAACATAAATCTATGCTTAGTCCCATTTTCCCTGAGTTCTGAGCACACGAGTTTATTTTCAACATGCTTTATAGTTAATGGAGAATAATTTATGTGTGGATAGGATAATTGCCTACTTACCTGGAAGGAATGATAAAGAAGAACATGTGATTAGGTGAGCATAAGTGTATGAAGTATAACTAATTTGGTACCATAGAAGTATTTTCTTTGAAATTCTGTAACTATGTTTTCTAAAGTGAAAATCAGTATAGAACTCCATTTTTACACAACATTGTTAATTATTCAGAACTGTAACACCATTTCATAATTTTAAAATATCCTTATTTCTTTTTGTGGTTTTATCTTTTTTTTTTAACGTTAGCAGACTACTCAAAGCAGTAGTTTGGGGGTTTTTGTCTTGTTTTGTTTTACATATTCTGATAGCAGATTCAGACTTTTAAAAACAATTTAAAGTACATTACATTGCATTGTACAGACTTGCTTACAGACTCAGTCTGAATTTAGTCACAGAACAGTCTACAAGTTGCAAATATTTTTCCTTTAAGTGGACAGTTCTAGTCTGTATCCTAAGACAATCATCTTTTTAGATGTATTGTTTGTGGGAATATCACTAATTTCAGATTTCAGACTTTAATTTTCTCACAGACTGATGAAATGAAAATTAATGGGTTGAGTTACATCACTTTCAAATTAAAAAAAGGAATTATGGCAAATTGTTACAGGTCTTCAGTGCAAGGTATTTAAATTTTTGTTTTTGTGTATTATCACTGTTTTGTCTTTTTTTTTTTCCTTTTAAAATTGTCACGAATGTCCACTTATCCCTGGTTCAGAAGTGAGATTTATAAACATTACAGTTTGAACCGTGAATTTTCTTAAACATGAAACAAGCAAAAATAGCCATTATAGCTGGGCAGTGGTGGTGCCGCCTTTAATCCCAACATTCAGGAGGCAGAGGCAGGTGGATCTCTGTGAGTTCCAGGACAACCAGGGCTACACAGAGAAACCCTGTCTTGAAACCTCCCCCCCCCACACCACCAAAAAAATAATAATAATAATAACCACTATAAAATTTCAAATGATGTAAACATTTCCAAACCACAGAGACATGCCACTGTATGTTTCAAAATTTAACTCCCACCCTCTT